CTCGCCCCCGGCGGGGGGGGTCCGGCCTGCGGCTGCCCCGTTTGCATCAGGAGGCCGCGGAGCGGGGCCGGGCCTGGCGAGGCGGCCTGGACCTTCCGCTTGGGAAGTTCCTTATTGCAGAAACATTTTTTATAGCAACAGGAAGCCTTGTTGGCAGCGTCTTTTAATTATGCTCTGAGGCTAATCAAGGAAAAGAGAAGCTGTCTTGAGCACAGGAAGCTAAACAGCTAATCATCCATCTGAGTGCCTGTTTCCACAGGGGATGAGCGAGCACTTAAGTGCTGCTGCGCTCTGCTTGCATCAGCAATCTGTTAAATGCCTGTAAAAAGCAGGCAGCAGGCGTTGCTGCGCAGGGGAAGGGGGTTATCCGTGTTGGGCTCCTGCTCCCTGGCATCACGAGGCTGGAAATCTCTGCCTCTTCCCAGCAATCACAGAGGAGACCAGAGAGACTAGGCAGCAACACGGTATCTCAGGCAGTGACGTGCATGCCCTGCTTTATTTTACTGCTGCCCAATAGTAATTGCTGTGATTGTCAGAGCCGAGCAGCTGGAGAGCTGTTACAAGACATAAAAAGGTTCACGCTGAAATGTTCTTCATACATTTTTCTCCATTTTTCAGGTCACCTCATTGCTTGGTGTTAGAAGCAGAGCTGTGTGAAGTGCTAATAACTGAAATGTTATAGGACATTTAGGGTGGTCCAATCATCTTCACAAAGCAAGAAGGGCAGAAAAACCCTCTCTGTCATATAACCCCCCGCAGCGGGGTTGCAGAGGGAGCCTGCAGGGCTGTGGAACAAGCAGGAGGGAGGAAGCTCGCCGCTGCCTCGCGCGTTCTGTGCTCAGGCTTGGAGCAGGTTCAGAATGTTGCAGCCCCTGGGCCGCTCTCGGTTCGTTTTCCGGGGCCCAGCCGGCCTCTTGCAGGTGCTCCCCGAGCACGGGCTGGCGCTCGCCGGGGCGGGCAGGGCACCGGCTGCGTGGCCCGGTCTCGGGTCCCGCGGGCGCTCAGCGCT